AATTAAATTTTATTATCGGCGAGTTATTATTTATTAAATGACTTGTCACGTTCCCCCCAAAAGAAAGGTATCGACTATGCCCCCTTAAAAACAACCTTAGTACTGGAGAACCAGAAACCGTTATTTTTCAGAAATCCGTTAAAATCGCGCGAACATGCACGTTTTAATTTCTTTACGCTCGTTTCGGTGGCTCTCCTGTAGCTATTACAGAGCTGTTGTTCTGTCGAATGCCGCAAGGTCGTTCATTATTCGGAGTGTACATGACCCTGCCTTACCGTACGGTACAGAAGACTGAAAAACTAGTAGCAAATTATTTTCCATGACCGCAAGCTGCTGAACTGTCCGCTGAAAGGTACGTACGAGTTTTACCGTAAGGTTGCCAGTTCGCTATGACTTGGTTGTATTTTTAGGCAAGAGTACGCGTCGTGTACGTAGTGAAAGTACTAATACCAAACTAAAATTGAACGTGTCAACTCCGTTTATTTCTCTTCCTTTTCTTTTTCCGTACAGTCGGTCAGACAGATCCGTCAGAAAACATCAAAACTCTTTTTTTCCTTTTTTCTCAATCGAAGACAAAGCAAGAATTACATCTCAAACATAGATCATACGAGCATCGTGTGTTCCAACCACGGCAGAGATGATTCGACTTCGGACCATTATCTTCGCAGAATTTTGGCTACTAGCGGCTACCATTACACTTGCTATCGCGGAACAGGGAACCCCGACTTTGGCTTTCGTTGTTCGAGGTGCTACTGGCGGTTGCTCTCTACACGAAGTGTTTTCTCTCGCGGGGGATGRCAGTGATGGCTTTGGCATCTTGRCACCGCTTGATCCTCCGATAGAACGGTTCCACTCAGTAAAAGGGGTTCGCTGTCGAGAAGTTGCCAACGAGCTCCCTCTTGTGGGTAGAGTCGTGGTCTTGGAGGCAACTGCAGATGCCCAAGAAGAGCTCGTCGATGAGTGCCTAGAACTCGAAGAAGAAAAGACTGAAAACAAGCCAACACGCATAGCAGAAGGTGATCCTTACGGGTACGAGTGCATGGCAGAAAAACTTCGAAGTTCCAACTATATTGCTATTAATTCGGGACAATGATTCTCACATGAGTGTTCTCTTTTTTCCCAATTATTTTTGATCTCAAATTATTTTTAAAATCAAAAACATACCATATAACATCTATGATATTTGTTTAAAGTGCTGTGTTGTGGCCAGCCGCGTGGGCGGTTTCGAATTATATATTGTCGGAATCAACTTTGCGAAATAATCTTCCTTCCTTATCCATACTTGAATTGGGTACGGGAACTGGTCTGGTATCGATTTCCATCGCCATGGGTGGAGCTAAACGAGTCGTTGCTACTGACTATGAACCACTGGCCCTGGCACTGACTCGATACGCCGCTGATACGATCAACARCAGCAACTCAAAAATTATTGAAACGGAGTTGCTAGATATGTGCGCTCTGGAACAAAAATTGCCGATATCTCTTCCGGAAGGAAATACCAGCAAAATCGATATCGTGGTTGCTGCAGATATAATGTATGAACCAAAGACAGGAATCGCTATGGCGCACCGAGCGGTGGAAGCCTTGCGCCAGAATTGTAGGGTGATCATAGGGGACAGTCCCGGTCGGGTACGTCAAAGTGGTGTCYGTKTTTTAAATTTATTTCCTAACCACAGTTGTGGTAGCAGGGAGCGAAGCTATGAGGACACTTCATGTCTTTKCGAGCAATACAAAATGTGTTCGTGTCTGTTTGTTTTGTCTGACTTTTTGCGATTACTTGTTTCGCGCTTTTAATTCCGCTTCCCTCTGTGCTAGCCTGGACGACCCGCGTTTTTGAAAACCTTGCGGGARCTTGGTGTGGACGAGGSGATCGACTTTCGAGAGACAATAGGAAAAACTTGCTCCGGGCCGAGACACGATCTCATATGTGGAAAAGGATCCACKTCTGTATCTGAACAAGCGCAAGAGTTGTCCGTCGCTCTCCTGGACTTACAGCCTAATATGCTAAAGGACTAAGATCGGCTAGCATTGGGTGGTGTGCATCGCAAAGCAGAATTCTTTTCTGGTGTTGATTGGAGTATTATTGGGATTTTTAAAAATYAATGCCTGAATTCAATATCAAATCACAATATTTAYACACTTTATAACTCTATAATGTTCMTTCGCTGAGTGCCCATCAGACGATTTGTTGTGATGCCGTCGTTTTGTTTCCACTTCATTTTGCCCWCATCTTTCATACTCGTTGCTTTGAAATTTGGCTTGAGCCATACAAATTGCAAGCAGAGAATTGATTAATTTCAATTTTCACGTTGCCTCTTAAAAGGGTTTTGAAGCGGTCATGAATTTGTTTTCTACTGCTGGTCGTTTGCTGCAACAKCTTTTGCGTTGCTCATTGATGTTTGGTGGGGAAGTTCCGATCCAMGATCCTCATTTTCGTCGCTGTCGCCATCAAAAGCAGGACCGCAAATTAATTCCTTTGTCAAGCTGCCTTCCGCCCATTGGATTCCAAGAGCGTGTTTTGCTACAAAGGCTCCCCGCCGCTCCAATTGACCAACGATGCGTTTCGCTTGTTCGATGTCTCCATCAATCTGATTTTTCCCGACATTTTTYGTCACCTTCTTCACTAGTTTCGTTCCGTTGCTCACGAGCGTGATGTTTCCCATTGTTTGCAGAACATTGTCGTACGTGTCGGCGGTATCCCTTGCCACGTCCCCGGCGATACTTCCGTATTTATGGCCAACAATGTCGGCCGTCACTCCAACGGTTTTCGAACTCACGCTCTTGCTGGTTTCTAGAACGGCGTCTGCAACAAGGGCAACCGCTCCGACGCTTGCCATTCCAACCTTTCCAGTTGCTCGGATGATCTCACGGCTTTCGGGTGAGATATGATCCGTCATGGTGTTGGTGGTTTCGTCGAATTTGTTTCCGATTTSGCACAAGCYAGACAAAGTTCTATCGAGAGTGGATTGAGCGACGAGTGTGCTGCCTTGTCGTGCGTACTCGGATGCCCGTTTCGCCGAACCCGAGAACGCACGGAGCACTACAGCATCACCATAGCACGTTATTTCTTTCCCCGCCTTCCTCGGACTCTGATTATTTTGACGTTCGCRTTGTTCGACGTCGCGTTCGCCATCCATCCAAACTCTCATATTGTTTCCCACACTATGGATTTGCTCTTCAATAGCCTTGTTCGACTTTTTGATCCCTATTTCCACTATTTTGGCCCCTGCAGCAATGAGAATCGCAGTGGTGTTTCCTTTGTCYGTTACAGATCGAATTCGTTCCCTTTCTAGATCCAGATCTCTCAAACATCTCGCTCTGATTTCGCACAAAAGTGGCATTGTTATGGGTGACAGATTCTCCGCAAGGTCATCGTCCCAGGCCGCTCTCCTAGAGGTTAAAAATTCAAACATRCGCTCCAGGTATAGCTTCACAGAATTGTTGGAATTGCTGTATTCATTGGTTTTGAGCAAGCACTGCATCGCAAGACATTCTACCGCGGCCAGTTTGAGGTCGCGCGGGTGCCTTCCTGTCGACAAAAAGCTAGAGATCCGTGACACGTGCTCATCGTGCATTGTCATATCTCGATTGGACTCGCTCGAGAGGAGATACGCCAAACTCCGCATCAATTCGCAGGACCATCGCCTCGATGCACGTCCCTCCCTGCYGTGGTGTTTTTTACGCAAGAAGAATTCTTCGAAGATTAGSAGTCGATCCACATTTCCATCAAGCAATATGAACAAATCGTCCTCAATTTCCTCCCACACAACATCGTCTCGGTTAAGAGATAGGATCGCGTGTAAAATTTGAGACGGAAGTCGTTGGGGTCGTAACTGTCGAATGCTTTCCCTAGTTTTGARATTGTGAATTTTGCTGCTTCTGCTGGTGAAATTGCTCCTTTTGWTTTYCCATTCATTCCTGCTGTTGATATTTTTATAGCTGCTGCCATTGCTACTGAGGATCGTGTTGGCACTGTTGTCGGCAGAAACCTCTGCTTTGGCATTTGCCAACTTGGGTGATTCATCTTCGTGACGAATGAGTGGCAACGATCTGGGAGATGTAGCGGGGAAAATGTGTGTAGTTCCAACGCTTAAATGTTTTGCTGCGCTTGGATTGTGGATCGAGGAGAATTCAGACGACATCGAAAAGGAGGACGAAGCCAAGGAAACMGTTTCGTCGACTGAATCAGAGCAAGAAGTCGTCGACGCAAAACATCCGACGGGCGGTTCCTTCGTCGACGAAAACAGCGCATTCGAGTGCAGCAGCCTCGAATCGATAACACGACCTCCTGTGGTACTCAGAAAACCTGTATCTYCCGTGACGCCTTCTGCATTCAACACATCGGAGAAACGACGAAAAAACGAAGAAGTCTTCGCTTTTTTTTCTGTCTTCTCCTTCCCGCCCATTGTATGTCCCAACAGCAATTAGAAGTTGACAACAATACAATGACAGTCACGTCGTCGTTCACGTATGTTTTTTACTTCCACGGCATGCCCCCGTTGTCAGGGAATAGATGCCCTCTTCGGTGATTATGTTGTCAGTAATTACTGCATTCCAAGATATATTGTTCAGTTGTATCGCGTCCTACCTGTCACTCTTGTCTGACAATTTCCGAGATATCCACAGACGCAGATAACTTGGCCTTMTTTTCGGGACATGCGTTCGTGTGCACGTCTCCTTTTCCAGTAGTTCTTCTGCGCTTCCGTAATGTAGCTTTCACTCGCGCTCCAGCGCTTTGAACTGCTAGGGCCACTTTGTTAGTACTGAAAAAAGAAAAAAGAGAACCACTYAATTCGTACGAAGTAATAAAATTATCTCTAGAATTAACGATTTTCGCCTCCTCACTCTACCTATAACTTTGGCTGACTAGTTCTAAGCCACTAGTAGAGCATCATTTGGCTTCCCAATGACATGGATCTATAAGCAAATCACATGGTAAATGGCCCTCTATTATCATACTCACCCCTGGTTATATCTGGCTCGCGTTGTTTTTTCATCTGTTTATACCAATCATATCTTCTCTCAAAATATAGTTTTTGGGTAACAATATTCTGGAACTACCTAGAAGGCAAAATGACGGTGTTGTCACGTCTAGACAGCAGCTCTTACATCATCTCAGTGACCATGATGATTGTTTCTACCACTACGGTCATCATTTGGGTGGTGTAAGGGATTTCTCAACCTCTGTATTCGACCCTGGAAAAATCAGGCTCCCTTGGGCCATGAATTCTGTCCGACGAACCCCCAAAAAGGCCCAGGTTCTGCTTTGCCTGAAAATCTTGATTCATAGGTTATGTTTGATCCAACCTGTCCACAAATTGACTGTGTCTTGTTGGAGGATGAACTTGACAACGCGACATCCTCTTTTGAACCTCCTTCCCCCCTCCTCTCTTGAGAATACACATGATAGACTTGTCAACAGCAGAGAACGCCATCTGCTGTCAGTTTTGAATCACCTGGCACCACAAGAACTTTCCATCCCTCTCATATCTAAGCCCAATTGTCAGCACCACGTTTCTGACAAATTGAAGGTAAAAATCAAGCTCATGAAGCTAATGCGCAACCACAACATTCCTCTTGATGCCAAGAGAGAGCTTTATCAGTGGGCAACTGAAGCCGAGAGTCTACAACTCTTTTCCTGGTCTCAAGGGAACTTATTCAAAACACATGCAAATCTTTGATGAAAGAATTGCACAAACTAGCCCCCAAAATCAAAGGCGGTGAGTTTGAGCCCGTTGTCGTTGACTGGCGTTACAAAGCTTTTGTTGATCCATCTCAACCTTTCCTTCCCTATCCAGAATGACCCAACTTCCTTCTAATGGAATCATCCACTTGGAAATGATGACATTATCTGTGAACTTCGCCACAGAACTTTTTGGATAGAGACATGGAAAAGAAAGTGCAACACGGAAATGAAAAAAGTCCAGGTCCCAATTATCCTTTACATGGACAGGATCGCCATCGACAACAGTAGACTCACTTTCCTAACACCCCTCAATATGACTCTTGGAATTTTCAACGACCTAACACGTTCTGGCAGGTGAAATTATGAACAAAATTCACTCCCAGGGCGGACGGTTTCTGAAAAAAGACGATGAAGGCTGGGCTTAGATTGTAGACGAGGATTCATGTTCAAAGGTTTCTCATGCCTTTCGGAATCTGCGTATTGCGGAACGAATGGCACTGAGGACGGTAGCGGCGAACAAATCCGTTAGGAGCGACGATGCCKTATGCCTGAGTAACAGCACCGCGTGCAGTGTAGGGGAGATGAACACGAAGTTCGATCTTCCTAGCCCTTTGGGGCAAACGAAAGCTCTATCAAAGGGTAGCGTAGAAGGCGATGTGATACTGAGTCAGATGTAAATTATGGGTTCAATGAAGCGTCCAGGATCAGGCACCCAGTATTAAGAGATAAAATGTATTTGGGTACGATTTTGATTGATTTGGATAATCTCCAATGCTTCGTACTCTTCCAAACAGGATTGCATCTGTTGAACTGTGAAACCCTTTCTAATAACCATGGCTTCGGCGAGCTTCATTTCGACCGTGGTACTGTTCGACGTCGCAGAATAGTCTCTGATGATGTTAAATATTCGTGACATGACGTCTTCCCGTCGAACTATCTTTCCGTCTTCGCCTGTCTCCTCGGACAGGCTAGCCTTGCTCATGTGTGTCAATCGGATGGCTTCGTCTACGTCCTCCCTGGCTACATAATCACTGAAGCGCAGACGAGCCAGAGCTTGGCCGAGTCGCAGTATAGAAAGGAGCTGTCGAGCGGTCATGACGGTCTGATCCCCGACTTTGTTCCCGTTGTTACTTTTKCCGGGACGATCCTGCATTCGGAGAGACACGTACGCTTCCACGATGTAGGGTGCGACTTCGGGAGGAACCACTGGATCGTGGCGGCGAGCTCGAGAAATGTACTCCCGAAGAAGCCGGGGGGAGACGATCCCCTTCTCCTCGTTGAAATCCGAGTTTTCTTCTGCGGCCCTGCCGGAATCGTCGTCGTCGTCCGAGTCGAGGTCCTCCGGTTGCGCCTCCAGGCCCTCGTTTTGGTGCACAAACGTGACGTGGCGGGCCAGTGCCATGTCGCGGTCCATGTCCGGTGTGTCCAGAATCAAAAACATCAGATCGAAACGGCTCAGCAACGAATTGGGCAGATTGATGTTTTCGGAGAGAGACTTGTGCCGATTGTAGCGGCTGTATAGCGGGTTCGCGGCAGCAAGAACCGACGCCCGTGCGTTTAGAGTGGCAACCTGCGAGCAGGAGAGATAGAAGAAAGACGAACGAACGAATTAGTCGGTGAGTTGGACAGTGATCATCACTGATTGCAAACCCTTGCAACGCAGGCACGCAGCACCGATTGCTCGCGGGTTGCTGTCGAATCATGGCGTCCTAGSATCGCATCACATCGGTTCACGGAATTCCAGAGCACTGTGTTCCCGCACCACACGCATACCCAACGCACACGGCACGGCACGGCAAGCGCGTCGCAAACCAGGACTCACGATTCCCGCCTTGGCGATCGACACGGTCTGCTGCTCCATGACCTCGTGGATGGAGGACCGGTCAGCCTCGTCCATCTTGTCGAACTCGTCGATCGCGCAGATGCCCCGGTCCGCTAGCACCAGCGCGCCCCCCTCCAGGGAGAGTTCCCCCGTCGTGTTGTCCTTGGTGACGGAGGCCGTGAGGCCGACGCCGGAAGACCCCTTTCCGGTCGTGTAGACACCCCGGGGGGCGACGCTCACCACGTGCTTGAGGAGCTGCGACTTGGCGACCCCCGGGTCCCCCATGAGGCAGATGTTGATGTCCCCCCGGATCTTCATCCCGTCGGCCATCTTCCGAAAGACCCCCCCGGTGAGCTGCAAAAGCAGGGCCCGCTTGATGTCGGCGTGGCCAAAGATTTCCGGCGCGATGGAACGGCTCAGGACCCCCACGGGATCCTCGGCCGAAGCGACCCTGCGGACGTCGGCGTCCAGCCCGCCGGCTTTCTCCTCTCCTGCTCGCTTCGTGGCGGCGTCGTCGAAGGACTTTTTGTGGACCGAGAGGTTCTGGGCGTCCACGTAGAGGGTCGACATGAGGCCGGCCCTGCGGCCCGCGGCCCCGTGTCCGTCGTTGACCTTCTGGGGCAGGAAGATCCCGTCGAGGGTCACGACGTCCCCCGGGCTCGCCAACCGCGTCAGCTCCCCGCGGCAGTAGACACTGAGGGACCGGGGGATGTGCCCCATGGGGACCTGGCTGGGGAGCTCCTGGAGCTTGAGCTCCTGGAACTTGGTGAACTTGCTCCCTCGGGTTTCCAGCTTGAGGACGCCCACGACGCGGCGGCCGCCCCCGCCCCCGGGGTTGGTCCCCCCCGAGACGCAGACCGGGCAGACCTTTTCCGGGACAAAGTCCCGCTGCCGGTGGGTCTCCTTGTAGAGCTCGGAACCGCAGACGTCGCAGGTGTAGGCCGCGACCTGCAGCATGGGCCGGACGTCCGAGGCCTTGACGATCATCCCCGTGATAGTGACGAGCCGGCCCATGCTCTTGGACCGGACGTGCCGGAGGGAGACCCCCCTCGGGATCGCCGCCGCGGCCTTGGAGGGGTGGTACTGGTCCTCAAAGGGAAAGAGGCTCCCCCGGCGGCCGAGRGGCAGTATGCGGAGCTCGTACCGCCGCATGAGCAGGGGGGGAAAGGCGTTTCGCTCGTCGCCGCCGCCCGCATTGGCGGCGTCCCCCTCCACGCCGGCCTCCTGCTGTTGGTCCTGCTGCTGCTGGGCTTGCCGGTGGAGGGCCATGCGCTGCTCCTGCAGCACGTCCATGGCGTCCCTGAGCAGGACCGAGCCGCGGCCGCGTGGGTTGCGGGTCACCCCCCCCGACGGCCGAAAGCTGTCCCTGAGGATGCCRTCCAGGACCGTGCAGAAGAGCGAGTGGTACCGCTGCCCGTTCGCCGCCGCCCGCTCGCAGAGGTCCCCCCCCCGGACGGAGTCCCAGGCGACGAGCTCCGAGAGGGGGACCTCGACCAGAAAGGTCGTCGCCGTGTCGGTCGGGTAGTCCCTGTCGGCGATTTTCTGCAGCAGGCGGGGGTAGCACGGGACCCGCTCGACGCGGATCGCCTCGCCGGAGGCTCCCGTCTCGCCCGTGGGCTCGAAGAGCCGCTGGTCGCCGTCCTCGCCCTCGGAATCCGAGCCGTCCCCGCTGCCCCGGACGACCCGCCGGATGGTGTGCTCCAGCACGAAACTCGCAAAGGTGGCTGCGTTGTTTTGCGTTGGGTTGGGTTGCGTTGGGTTGCGTTGGGTTGCGTTGGGTTGCGCGGCGGACGGACCCACCCAAGAAATCAAACAAGGGCGGTGCATTGCGTTGCGATGGTGAGTGGTACGGGGTTGGGTTGTGCACGATGCGAGACCGTCGGCCAAAGCAGAGACCAAAAAACAGGCGATTCGAAACCTCCTCCGAAACAGGATCGGACACCGAAGTCTCCMAATGGATCTTGCGTTCACAAACACTCACCGGAATCGCCGTCGTAATCGGGATACTGGTTGCCCGTCACTATTTCCGCGGCCGTTGCGGTCGTATCTTGCGACGCCATCGTGCCGCTGCGCTCGCCCTTCTTTTGACGCCGGTGTTCTGGATGCTAGCTGATCGCTTCGTTTCGCTTCGTTTCGTTTCGTTTCGTTTCGTTTCGTTTCGTTTCGTTCCGCAAACCCAAAATCCCTTGCTGTTTCGTATCGTATCGCAACACAAGAGATTCGTTCCCTATCGGTGTTTGTTTGGTGTTCGTACGTATCGTAATCTATCACGCCGTATCGTATCCTGTTCTTGTCGTGAACGCCAGTGCGGGCATGGCAGAGAGTGGTACGGTACAAGTTCTATCGTACTGTACAGTACGCTACGATAGTCCCAAGCGTGGCTTATGCGGTAGCCGGTGTGTCGGTGCAACAAGGTATGTTGCTGCCACCAGATCTTACGCTGCCATGCATGCCGGGGAACCACTTTTTTTCGATCGAGGCGATGGTGCGCTGGGTTCGAATCAATCATAATCAAACAAAGTTTTTTGAGTCGAACAAAAATCAAAACAAAATCGCGCCAATACTTCGCGCCAAAAAAAGTGTGCAAAACTGTTTCAACGAGATGGTACGTACTCCTACGTATAAGTATGTACCGGTACGGCAGCATTGGTGGCGTTTTTACGAGTGCGAGTACGAGTGCCGTACGTACGGCAGGATTCGGTAGCGCGCCAAGGGAGGGGCCCACCAAACCATTCGTGATTGGAAGAAAACGAGTTCGTAGCACGAGTACGACGAACAAGGAGCAAATTGGTGCAGAATCCTGCAGTTACAGTACGTAGTGTTGTGCTTCGGGCCGAATTTCATCCGSAGCTCTCTCTCACATACCTGTAACATCAAGGCACCGATGCCCACACCCTTACTCGCATCGGTATCCGACAGCGCCTGCAGGAGAGACACCCGAACCCTTTGAGTTACATCGCACGACACGACACCAATCGAACCCAACCAAACCCAACCCAACCAAATCGGATCCAACCAAAACCAACCGAATCCAACTGCGCCAAACCAAAACAGAGCCATGAATTCGTCGTTCTCCCGCAACGCCCGGAGGGGGTCCGGGCACCGCCTGGGCCTCCCCCGGCCGTCCCTCGACTCGATGCGGACCAGCCGCTCCGGCCATCTTTCGGACGCCGACACCGACTACGACTCGAACTACGACAACGACTACGACAACGCTGCCGAAGAGGAGGAGGGCCTCCTGTCGCGGAGGCACGGGGAGGCCGCCGAGGCCGGAGGGACCACCAGCAACAGGGCAAGGGCCGGAGGCAAGCGTGCCGCCCCCTCCACCGACCAGGAGGTCCTCGACGAGTACGAGAAKCAGGACCGGGAGCAGCGGAAAAAGGCCCGGCGCAAGGTGCACCGGTGCGTCACCCAGGAGGACCTCACCGGCCCGAGGGGCCTGGTGGCGGTCCGCGGGGAACTCCCCCTGCGCTTCCGCGGGCTCTCGGCCTCGAGGACCCCCCGGTCCATGGCGTCCTACTCCCGCCGGCTCGTCTCGGCCTATTCCGACTGGATGGAGGCCATGACGAACGGCCTGCCCCTGGGGGAGCAGTCCTGGAAGCTCCGGGCCCTGGGGTCCAAGACGGGCGTCAAGCAGTGCCTTGCGGGCATGCGCAACACGGTCCGGGACGACCGCGTCGAGCGCCTGCTGGGGCTGGAGAAAGCCGGCGACCTCCTCCGCCAGCTCGAGGACTACTACCGGGAGGAGGAACACGAACAAGAACCAGAGCAGCACGAGCACCACGCACCGGAGGACGAAAACGTGCCGCCGGCAGCGGGAGGACCCGACTCTCCCGCGAAGGCTCCGGCCCCCGTGACCAATCCCTACGCCGGCAAGACCGGCGGCGGCCACAAGGACCGCGGGGCCCCTGTCAACCCGGTCGTGAGCCCCTCCGCCGGAGGCGGCGGCGAGTCCGCGGAGGCTTCCGCTTCGGACGTTCCCCTCGACGACCCCCTCGAGCGCCGGCTGCTCCGGACCCAGCGGAGGCGGGCCGCCCTGCAGGACTCGGACGAAGACGACGACGACGAAGAAGAAGCCCTCTTTGCCGACGTCGTGCCGGGAGGCACCGACGCGAAAGACACCGATCCAGRGAATCCAAACAGGAGACGCGTCCTCGACGACGACAGCGACGACGAGGACCCACCCGAACCAGAGAAGGGAGACAACAACGACGAAACATTCGAACAAGTGGAGGAAGCGGCAGCGGCGGTGCCCGASACCGGCTCGAACGACGGGGCCGTAGAGGCGCGGGGCACCGGCGAGAAGGAAAAAGACCCACGGAACAAGGACGGCGACACGGACGGCGATCCGGCGCCACCCCCGCCGGCAGCGACCAGCGGTGTCGACGAGGGCCGGTTCCGGGCCATCCGGGACCTTTTGGGGGGAGGCGACGCCGAAGAAAGTGGGCAGCCCCCGAAAGGCGACGAATGGGATCCCCCGGAGGAAGGGGACCGAGCCGGTCCTGCTTCGAACGAGGCCCCGGAGGAAGGGGAGGAGGCCGGGGCCGAGCAGGCCACCTTCCAGTAGAGCAAAAACGCAAACCAGACGATGCATGCGTTGTACCGATATCTTTCAAATCGTAATACAATATTCCATTAGCACTGCATATTCTATCGCATCGATCTACCTGTGTATTCCCTGCTTTCTGGCAGGCTAGGAAAAAATTCTATGCGTGCACATCCCRGTCAGACCGGCACCAGCAGCATCCGGAGGCCGCCTCCGGCCGTGGCAACGGCGCGCTTCAGCCGCTTCGCCGGGACCTCCCCGCCGTCTTGCAGCCCGAGCATGTAGCGAATGTCCTCGAGGGATTGCGGACCGGGTGGAAAGACCACCGTCGCCGTTCGGTYYCCCTGGGTGGGCATTTCCAGAACGTAGGACCCGTGCGCGATCGYGGACGCGGTCGTCGAACCGAGGACGCCGCGGACCGTGGGCTTCCTCCCCTCGGCGGGATGGGTGGCCCCGTGCCATTGGTGTGCCATCTTGTCCACGACGCCCAAGACGGATTCGGATGCTTCGACGGTGMGTGGATTCCCGTCGGGGTCGGTCCCCCTCCAGACCCGGCCGCTGGCGCGGGCCTGGAAGAGCCCCGTGCTGGACCGGGAGAGGCAGAGCGGCAGAATCTGCTGGTGGGCTTCGTGGAGGTCGGATCCAAAGGACATGACGGAGGAGATGCCCAGCGATGCCACCGCCCAATCGTCGGACGAAAGAAAGGACGAAAACGCCCGCCGGATCGTCTTTCAAAAAMAAGTGTGAGTRGGGTGTTTGGCTCTGTTGCGGTATTGGTTGGGAACGAGATTTYATTGGTTCTGCCGTATTTCGATGCGAAGRTTACTTACCCGGAGAACTCGATCCGAGCAGACACTCGGTATGGCTTTTCCGATGCACCTTAGCAGGTTCAACGCCTCGAACGTTAGGATCGAGTGCTGKTCCCGGAGAACGGCACCGTCGATGGCGTTGCCGTTGGTTTCTCGGAAGGCTTCCTTCTGAACCGCGTGCTTGATCAGGAGGCACACCTTCTCGAGGGGCAGCTTGCCGTTTTCGCCAAAGGCGGTGGCCGTGGTGGCCGAGAGGCGCATCGCGGCAGCGTACAGCATCACTTTYTTCTTTAGTGTTTGGGTGCTGTCGCCATTGCTATTGCCATTGCCATTGCCATCGCTGCCGTGCTTTGGTTTGAATTTCAGCGACGACACCAGGGACAGCACCGGCTGCATCACGTCGGAGAACGCGTCCAGCCCCGTAACCTGCCGGAAGCGTTCCAGCGACGAAGAACCCGGTCCGGCGGCGACGAATCGTTCCAGCCACGCCAGCAGGAGCGAGTTTCTGTCCGCAAAGGCCAGCAGTTCCCTCCCGCTCTGGGCGGAGGGATTCGCGCAGACCGAGGACAGCCTCGAAAACTCTTTGCGGAGCGTTTTTGAAAGGCATTCCCCTCCSRCGGAAGAAGACCCCAAGCYCCTGGACACGGTTCTTCCGGAACCTAGCACMCGGGACACGACCAGCACGTCCTGCTGCCGCAAGCGGAGGGGCGAGGGGCACCKGTTCCGTTTGCGCTTGCGCTTCCCCGGCGCTTGGTGCAAGGCCGCGCCTTGGTTCCACCAGGCCKCAAACTCGGCCTCGATCTTCCGSCGGACCGTTTCTTGGAAAGCCTCGCTCGCGCCGCCGGAGGGCGGCGGGGACTGCAGCCGCACSAGCAAGGCCCCGATGTTTCGCCGGAGCAGGAGGCTCGTGCGCGGATCCATCCACAATTTCGTCAGGCAGGCCAGGAGCCCGGGCCCACTGCCGGGACTCCCGGGCTCGCGGGCGTTCGCCATCGTTCCGGCGAGGTGCGTGTGGAGGAGGGACAAGACCATCTCTCGTGCCAGGGGGTGCTGCCGGCACGGGTGCCGGCGTTGTGGTGCGGATGCACTGGCGTTSGGAGTCCTGGGAGTGCCGCCGGTTMCGCTCGCCAGCCACCGCACGAGCAACCGGTTGTAGGCCCCCCGCTGGGAGGGGGCCGCGAGATCCGGCGACGATTCGATCTCCCGGAGGGCCCGCGCCATGGCCCCGAGGGACCCGTCGACGATCGTGGAGGGGAGCGTCGCTTGGGTGGGCATCGCTCCGGGCCCGCCGCCCCCGCTCCGCACCGCAACGATGCAGGCGGAGAGGCACTGGGGAATCGACGAGGAAAGCAGGGTTTCCATCGTTGCCAGGAGCGGTTCGGCCGTTCCGGAACCACCGCCTTTCCCAAGAATCAACTGAAGGACCTGCTGCAACACCAATACCTTTCCGGTGGTTCTTCCCATGGTACTCAACCGAAGAGCTCTCGACCGAACGTCGTCGTCGCAATCTCTGTGGCGGTGGGATTCCTCGTTTTTYCCGTCATCGGCGTCGCCGCGATCCACCATTTCGCTCCGCAAGAGGCTCTCCAGGGCCGGTGTGAGCACTCTTGGCCGATTCTTGGTTCCGTTCGTCTTCGGCACCACGATCCCCGCGACGCACTTTCCCGCTTTGGCCGCAAGCTCGCAGTAGACCTTGAGCACCGCCAGATCCGTGTCCTGCGCGGAAGCAGCGCGGTTGTCTTCGGCCGAACGGAGCAGCTGGAGCGCCGTTGCCGTGCCCCTCAGCCCCAGGAGCGACCTCCAGGCGTCGTGGGTTGGTGCGTTCCCCGCTCGGGTGTTTTCGTCTTGCGCCACCCCGTGGCCCCGAACGGAAAAGCAGATCCTCAAGAGGTGCGCCATCCGGGCGACGAGGAAGCCGACAAACTTTCCCTGAAAGGCGATCGGGTCGTTCCCGGCTGYGCTTGTGTCGGTCTTGCCGRGAACCAAGCAACGCGCGGCGRMTCCCAGTTCCAGSCGCTCTTTCCCCTCTCGAATGAAATCGCCCAGGATTCGAATCGCGTCACCGAGGAGGCTGGGAGGCAAGTGGTCCCTCCAATCACTGTCGTCGTTCTCGTCGTCGTCATTGTCGTCGTTGTCATTGTCGTCATCACCGTCCTCCTTCCCCCCGCCACTCGCTTCGCCGTCGTCGTCCTCGTCGTCGATCGCCACGAGCGTTTCCGCCAGGTCGCAGATGCCCTTCCACAACGGCACCAGCAGGGGTCCGCGTTTCTGCACGTACTCGTTCATGCGCAGGAGCGAGCAAAAGGCGTGGCAAAAGACGGGTCCGCGGCGAACCCCAATGGTGGCGTCCGCCGTGAGCGGATCCTTCCCGTCCCCCGCGCCCCCGGAAGAAGAAGAAGAMGACGACGACGACGAAGCCCCGGTCCCCCGAATCCGCTTGGCCCCCAGAAAGGCGGACATCCCGCTCGTCCACTYCCGCAGGAGGGACCCCGTCATCTTGTGGGCCTCCGCGACGGAACAGGTTTCGGCCGGGGCCTCGCCGTGTCCSCGCTCCGAGAGCAGCAGCAGCAGCTGGACAAACCGCAGCACCGCGGAGGTTTGGTCCATGCAAACCAGCGACGTCCGATCCGCTTCGGCCCCGAGACCGCCTTCCGGGGGGAGCGCGTTCTTGCAGCCGGCCAGGAGGATCMTTTGCGCCCTTGCGAGTACTGGGAGGGCACCGCCGCCTTCGGCACCCGCCGGGAAGCCTTGCTCGGCGASCTCCACCACCCTCGGACAGGGCAGTGTCTTGGAACGGAGGCAATCGCGGCACGTGCGCTTTCCCTCGGCCCGGAAATCGCCCTTGAGTTTGGCGATCAGGGAACGGGCGGCCATCTCCACGCCCTTGTCGTTGTCGTTGTCGTTGTCGTCTCTATTGCCATTGCCATCGCCACCGCCACCGCCATGGCCATTGCCCTTGCCGTCCCCATTGCTTTCGCTGCAAGACCTGCCTCKGTCGCCTCCGGGGTTCATCGCGGGGATCTGTTCCGAGCCGTGTCTTTGCTGTTCCTATGGTTTGTGGTGGCTTCGAAAATCCCGCTGCGGRAAGGAAGCGCTGCTTTTGCACTGAAAGACGAGAAGGAAAGAGTCGGCTTCCGTGGCAGTGTCAGAGTACCAATTACGCTAAGGTATCGGTACAATGGTGGAGCCACGATGTAATGAGTGAATGAGTGAGTGAAGAGAAGTTTCGAATTTTGTCCTTTTTTTTGGTTCGCGCCGGAAAAGTTTTGATGCGACGGCTACGTTCATTACGACTCAATCGACTCAAACAATTACAGTAACATCATCATTACCTTTGAACCTTACGGTAGCATCGTGAGAAAACAACTTCAACGATCTTCTAACGGTACTGGTACGTACTCATAGTCCTCTGTGTGCTCAGTCGTACAATGCTGTATTGGGCTAATCGGTACAGAACGTACGTACCAAACAGAAAAATCGACACAACACAGAAGAAAATTCATTGGATGAACTCGTCGAAATCAACACAAAAGTTGATTGATCCCGATCTGCTGTCTTTTCTTGCACTGTTGGTACTCGAGAGCAAACTCACAAATCGATCGGACCGGCAGAACCATGTTGTCCAATATTTTGCCGAAGAGGCTAACGATGCGGATCGCCGGCTTGGTGGTTGTGGCAACAGTTTTTGCAGTGGCCCCGGGCAGRGCGGCGGCATTCACGCTGCCCTCCGGACCGCGGGCGGCGGCCTTCCCATCGCCTCTGGGARAGGCGGCAACGACCAAACCCACCGGATCGCTTCGGGGACCAGACCAACCACGACAACGACAACCACCACCACACGGCTTGGTCGGCGGCGCAACCCGAGCCGGCCTTTTGTCCCTCCCGCGGGGACGGCGGGAGCCGTCGGCGCTGGGCCTCGGCTTTCGAAACGGCGACAAGGGCAGCAGCAGCGGCGATGGYGGCGGCGGCGGTGGAGCAAGCATGGACCCCGGACTCAAGCTGCTGGTCTGCCTCCTCATCGATTTCATCGGCGTCGCGTCTTTTGCGGCGCCGGGGCTTGGGGAGGCCACCGACGCCGGGTGGGCACCGATCTCCGCCCTGCTGGTCAACTACCTCTTCGGGAACGGCCTCTTCACGGCCCTGGCCCTGGTGGAGGAGCTCTCGCCGGGACTCGACTTTGTTCCGACCGCGACGATCGCCTGGTTTCTGGAAAACGCCAACCGGGAAGCCGAACAAGCCGGAGCMGGCGAGCCACCGCAAACGCAACCGCCGCCGTCCGCGGCACGGGGTCCGCCGCAAACCCCACGAGCACCGGGAACCGGCGGCGGGCCGGACGTGATCGACGTGGACATCGTAGAGTGACGCCAAGGCTTCCGGTCCCCCTGGGTGGCAATGGCAATTCCTGTTCGGGTACAACTTTTTCAATACCGAATCGACATGGTTGCCACCAAACACGCACGCACGCACGCACAAAACACACAAACACAAACAGCCCATCAAATACAGTAACCAACCGAGGTTCGGAACCGGACYCCGATACAACTTTGCCGGCAGTGTGAACCAGTAGTGGGTAAAAATTGGCGATATAGTAGTTTAGGTTTCGAGACAGAACATCTTGTYATTATCAGAGTGTTCGTTGTGGGACGAGCAAGTGCTATTTCTAATTGTACTAGCAAATAGTACTACTAGTTGACATGGAGATGATTAATAACAAGAGAGGTGCAATCGCGGCGGCCTCTGCCAATACTATCGACAAATCGACGACTAGTACTTTTACTAGTACTACCAGTAGGACAAATTTAAGAGGCAGAAATGTTACTTTCGTTGGAATTAACTTTAGTTGACTAGTCCGACTAAGAGAAAATACCATCAAAAGAAAGAATTTTTTGTTTTCTGTTTTCGTCTTTCGACAACCATCAAAAACAAACCTTCTACCGGTATCAAAACGATGATGTGATGCTGGAATTCCTGATGTACCGCACTGGGTAAATAAGTCTCGTTGTGGGGTTGAACGGTAGAGAGGGACAAACCAGCGAGGCTTCACTGAGGTAGTGTCAAACTCAAGCATCCAGTGTCGCAATTTATTCCCAATCCAAGGATAATGAAGTCTCTGTTGGCGGTCATTGCTTTCTCGAGCGGGACGTTCGTAGCAAATGGGTTTGCAAGCCACCAAACGATCTCTCGACATCGGAGAGTACGWGCTAGTCGCGACGATCTTAGTCTCGSAATGGCACTGACTCCGATAGGGCCGTTTTGCCCCTTTCGGTCGACGGCAGTAACCGAATTGGAACCCGAGGTCATGGACGCCAACAAGGAGACAACACCGGGCTTTGCCGAACGGTTTTCTAGGATCCAGTCCCAGATGCAGCTGGGACAAATCCCGAGTGCGGACACCCTGCGAAAGGTCGCCGGCGACATGGATCTCGCCATCGATCGGTGGGACAATCTTTTTGCGCGGCTCCAATCCACGCCAGACTTTCAAACCATGGAATACGCAAAAATTGCCGAAGCTCATTTGGCGTCGCACGGGACGTCTACCCGCGTTATTTCGCTGCTCGTACGATGGCAGAGTGCTTGCCTGAGGGCTYTTGCGGACAACAGACCCGCGCCCGTGCCTCCGCCGGGATTGGACCTGAACGCCATGATGGAAGATGCCAAAAGAACGGCTCTGTCGTCTTCGCCTGCAAGCAACAAGACTCCCTCGATCTCCGCTATGCAAGCAGCAGAGAGGATAACGGCACTCCCGTTTGGTACGGAGGCTTTCGAATCGGACACCGTGAGGAAGGAATACACTCGGCTTGTTCGAGACCATTCGAGTCTTATCGAGGCGGGAGCAACGTACAACGAGTTCGATTCCGCCGAAAAACTTTCCTTTCTGGAGCAGATCGAAACCATAGCGGATCGCTGGGACTCTTTTTTCTTTCGATTCGAATTGATGGGCTCACTCAATCGGGATTATATTGATCAATGCGAAGCCTATCTGTCCAGCATGAACTTAACGGAAGACGAATATCGTCAATTACTAAAAGATACTCATCTACTGATGCGAGAGGACGCCGAAAAGGAAATGCTCGACAGCTAACACCAAATTTAATCATTTTCGAAGAGATTGTGTCGTTGCATTCTTTTTTAGTTAATTCTATGTAAATTAAAATACATGAAATATTACCCTAAGATTGATTCTAAGTTATACTCCCCTTCCGATGGTGAAATGTTGATTGGGTCGCATGCTTTCGCCAGAGGGAATTTTCGTAGCCCATTCCTTTAGCTTTCATTTGCACACATCGGCTTCATCCAAATCAGCAATGACTAGAGACGTCACTACTGCGGGTCCAAATTTATTGGCTTGAMCATTGGGTTTGCTCCAATAGCTGGGATGTTGGGTTTGACTTCCACCATCATTCTCCCTGTGGTAGCTGTTGCGTGCGCCAGTACCAGTGCTTTCTGCAAAGAGGGGTCATCGCTATCGTGTTTTGCGACTGCTTCCTCCAACTCTTCGATTCGGGCTAACAACAACGCATAGTTTTCGTTGTTTAGCTGCCGTTCCTCTTCGAGTGCAGCAATCTCGACCTGAACCKCTTCCATCATGTCGGTCATTTGTTTTTGATTGTTAGAAACAAGCTCGATCAAGTCGCTGCTTTGCATTTGAATCTGGTGCAGTCCGTCTATCGACATTTCGAGCTGGCTAATGCTATGATCTTGTTGTTGGAGCACGTCAATGACTAACGAATCCAATGGTTGAGCTTGTGTGCGCGGTGCCACAACTTGAGTTGCCGATGCCATATCATTCACCATGGCAGTCAGCGATGCAACTGTTTGTTGGAGAGCAGCAAAATCCTCATCTATCGATGACGATGTATCCAATCGTGCAAACTGTTCGACATCACTACTCTGAACTACCTGTGTCATTGAATTCGGAACGGCAGGAACTTCGTATGTCGATGACGACGCATCCCAAACGTGCGATGACTCAGGAAGATCTCTACTGTCACTCTGAACAGTCTGCGTTGGAGAGCTAGGGACGGATGATTGTACTTCATTGACTTGTGGAAAGTCAACTGGATTTTGAACAGGTTCAGAATCGAGATATGATGCCATTSGMTCTTCTTGCGAGAATGGAGTATTATCAGATGCCATCGATCCAGTAGATTCCGRTTCAGTGAATTCCGTAGTTCTTTCMATGTATTCTTCGTACTCCTGTTCATTCATATCCGCAAACTCGTTGAGTACTAGAGGCATTTTTGTATGTTCATGATACTTTTCTACGGCGACGTAGTTCGAAGCAAAAATTGGGAGACGATTTTCATCCCACACTCGTCCGTARTACTCACACCATTCTCGGTACGCCACAAGAATGCGATCCTCCGCTTCTTTCTCGGGAGCGATCGTYGCTTCTTTGCTATCGTTTTTAGATTGCTCCTCTCCTTTCAGATATTGTTCTTCAGTCAAATCAGCAAATTGGTTCAGAACCAATGGCCTACCCGTGTTTTCGTGAAATTCTTGAACAGCCAGAAAGTTCGATGCGAAGACGCCGAGACGTTCTCTGTTCGAAATCTTTCCATAAAACTTTTATTCGATTGGTTAATAAGATTGGTGTGTATTCCGAAACGGTAAGTATTCACCTMAATTTCAAAATATGAAGTATGGTTTTGCTGCATTGTTCTTACCTCGCACCACTCTTGATAAGCTTGTTGAATCCGGTGGGCTTGAGCTAGGGGCTCGTCTTTCGTTCCTGAATTARTTTCTTCWAGATTCTGATCGTTGWMTTTCGAAAAAGGTATTATAGATGATATAACATCCAAATAGGACAGCTTTGTCGAATCACCGCCCTCACTCCATTCTGACTTAATAAATTCTCCTGTCATTGTTGCTGTCGCRCATCTCGTAAAAGTAAAACTTGCTGCCGGTGTGCGAAAGTCGTTCTCGTCCACTCTTTGAGGGTACAATGGAATCATAGTGGATGTTTCATATTGAAAAAGTCGAACTCTTGCAGCAGTAAGTTCATGTACCGAGAAAGCTTCTGTTACGGCGGTTCGTTCAGTGTCGACGACGAGAATACCGAAGAGAAAAGGTCTGAAAGATAGCCGCATCTTTGTAAGCTGTGATTTCGGTCAACCCAAAYTTGCAGTCGGTCTAATTTATTGCAGTTTGGTCCTTCAATGATTAGTCGAGACAACAGTTTCGGCACAAACAATCAMCRGAAAGAATTCTTGGGGTCAGAGTAAAGCACTCGGTATGTGAAGCWTGGAGGCATGCTAAAAAATTTGACACTTGTCGTAWTTGCTTCGAAAGCCAACGCCGTACCGGCAAGGCACTTCTGCTGCCAAGCAGCTATGCATTCCTTGGTGGCGCGAGCCATCAGTCATGCATCATTTTTTTTGAAGCGAACCCCAAAACGTCATTCTGGTGGCAAACGTGATTGATGCGGGACTCGATTCCTGCAAAAGGGACTAGTTTCAGTCCGTGTCTTAGACGAGTTCGTACGAGTACGAGTACCGTAGGCAAAAGACAAAAGATTCGCTTCCAATTTCGTAAAAGGTTCTGTTCTGTCAATAGATCTGCAAAAGAGTTGCACGAGCAAGTGCCAAGGAGATACGATCACGTTATTACTGGTGGCTCTGTTCGGAACTGACAACTCTGTCCTTCATATMTTATAAATCTCGCACCGCCCTCAAGARATTAGAATTGCTGAGACTAGAGTGTCCCTATGTCCAGGAAGAATGAGAACTTTCATTGATTTTATTCCTCCGGTGATTTTAAATGTTGTTTTCTGGAATTCATCTCAGTTGATTGGAGTTGATGCGCTCATAGCGGTTGACATCCATCACTTTGCCAATTTATGCTGGAATTCATYCCCCTCTGCTTGCACTACGTCTACAAGGATGTACGCAAATGTTCCTAATAGAAGAACTTTTGGAGGACTTCTGGGGASCGGGATTCTATCCTTGGGTACAGCTAATAGAAGAGAAGCGAAAGCTGCCGAGATTAAATCGAAACCTCTTGTGGATGTACCGATGGTCCGACTCAAACTTCCCAAAGGGGGTTTTGGCAGAGAATATATCGCATTAAAGCTGAAAGTTCAAGGTCAAGGACCTTTCGATTTCATGATAGATTCAGGATTGACTACCGAATTGATCACGCCCCATCTTCAACATGTTTTAGGGATAAATGAAGGGCGCAGTCGATTATCTGGACTAGCAGCGGGAGGTCAAACTACCTCGAACTCAGTGGTAGAATTGAGCGGTGCCTCTATCGATGTGGCGGATGGATCATCCTCCCTTAACTTGCCAAAACTAACTGCAGTAATTACGAGTTTTCCCCAGGAGCACATCGATCCGACCCACGATCCGGTCGAAGGAATGTTGGGGATGGAGTTGCTATCGCTGTTTGATGTAGACTTGGACTTTCCAAAAAACCGAATCAGACTCTTCGAGCCAGGAACTGTAGATACTTCAAGTTTGGCTCAGCTTCCTGCTGTTGTCATAAATGAAAGTATGCTGATCGGCATTCGTGTGTCAACGCCTACCCAAAAAAATGCTCAGCCTATTTTAGGCTTTCTTGATTGCGGCTCTACGTTTAGTTGCATCAACTGGAAAGCCGCTCAAGCTTTGGGATTACCTCCAAAGAATGATCCAGTATATCGGAGTGGACCTGTTATAGCAGCACTCGGTGTCGACGGTAGGCCATTGACTTTACCAACTGTTGAAAAACAACTAAGCTATGCTGGAAACCCAGTTTTSGATTCCAAGTCCGGTAGACCGGTAGGTTTTGAATCACCTCMGGCCGATTGGAACCCATGGGATCCTGTCCAAGTCGCTGTGGGAGACATACCTGYATTTAGCAATATTCTTGGAGATTCTGTTACTCCMTACGAAGGCCCAGCGGCGTTGATTGGCCTTGACGTTCTGGCCCAGCGTCGAGTTGTACTCAAAGCTGGAAAACCCAATTCTCGGCGAAGAATCGTTGCAATTACAMCCAAATAATATCCGGTAATATACGAATGTATTTATGTTCATACTTATTCTCAGATCTCATCGTACAACTTTCTACTAGTTCACGCACCAAAACATAATCTCCTGCCGAGGATAGGATATTCGCGAGTCTAATACACTAAACTTAKCGTTTGAGAACAATTGTCTGATATAATCCACGTTGTGGTTACATGTTGAAATCAAAATAGAAACCAATAGAAGAGGGAAAATAGCAGACTTCAATTATATAAAGGAATATAAAAATACATCTTTGATACTACTACTGCAAAGTRCTCCCATTGTGTACTGAATTTGCCACATTCATTCAGTTTTTTTCAATTTAATAGAAGCGAAATATTTGCTTCTTCAAAGGGATATCTTCRTCAACTAGGTTTTGTAACATGTCAATGATCGACTCAGTTGTTTTACTCAAAACGGCATCTCTCAATCGATCCTCGTTTACCGTCAATCCCTTTATAGCTCTGAATTTTTGGATCATTGTCGCTACTTCTTCTTCTGAGAAAGCAATCTCACTGTCCTGTCGAGAGTAGATCGAAGAGATCAAGGTTTCTATGGCACTTGTTTCCGCGCAATGTTCTATCTTTGCTGCTATCTGACGGTTGAGATACGCATCTTTTTCAAGTTCTTCTACGGATTGATTTTCAGAAGYTGCAATCATCTCTAGAGCATCCTCCACATCTAGCAAGTCTTCCACCCGTCCATCAAGTTCGTCGACGACGTAAGACATCCTTGTGTTTTCTCCTTTCAGACGTACAACATCCTTTTCGAGTTTCATTATCTTTTGCTTCGAGATCACCATGGTCGTTATTTGGGTTTGCTGATAAAAGGCGTAGCTTCCCATGATTATCTGCAGTATGCCGGCGATCACGGCGGAAGTGCTCSATTCGGCAATCATGGCAGCGAGSGAAAGGAAAATGGAGGCAACAGCRACGAAGGCAGTCGCTTGTTCCTTGAACGTCATTTTTAAAAATATACTTATAGAAGGTMGTTGTCTCGAATCGAGTTTGGAAGTCACAGTACGGTTTCCCGTCGACGCATAGCTTGTGGCWACATCGGTTCCCTGATTGTTTCCAACACTACTGTYATAAAGTGGTTCTTTCGCTRCGACTGCCATTGTTTAAGTGCAATAKAAAGGATATGGTACAGTGTCTGTTGTTTTCTTCGATAGAATCTCTGTTCTCGCAGGATGCTGATGACAGCATCAAGGGTTGGTATGGGGCTTTGAAYACCAATTTCCTTGGTCCAAGCCCTTGTATGTAACGTAGCGGGAGAGATTGCTGTTGTCGTTGATGTCAAGAATTGCCGTCAAAAATGTGATAWTAGAAGATGTTGTTGTCGTTGGTTTTATCGCTAACGGTCTAATTACCAAAAGGTGTGCTCGCGCGGATGTCGTAAAAAAAGGCTCATTAAACCAAAAACCTGCGCACCATTTTTTCGCGCGAATTACACCAACTGAGGTGCTCAGGTCGTATCTTTCTCAATTCATGAGGTCAAAATGAGGAAACCTTATCAAAACAAATCACCATTGCAAACACGAAGGTACCGTACCGGTTTCGTAGCACCCGTCCTTAGCTCCTCAACGTACAGCAGGCAACTGATAGAGGTCTTGGACGACATTTGCCTATTGTCTACAATCAATCCAAAATAGATATTCAATTCGCTGTCATGTCTATTGCTACATTTACCACCTCTATGGGGACCTTCAAGGCCGAGGTAAGATACGGCTTTCGAGACGGGCAAACAACCGAGTTCAAGATRCGGTGCTAGCGTTAGAGCYGATTCGGGCTCTCTCGCAAGTCTATTGGACCGCATTGTTTGATTTGTGCCGGCCATTGTTCGCATGCAACAGGTGTCRATRTTTTCCACGGGATCCACGGATGATGAACAGATTCATACTGGCATCATGGATTGGAAATACGAGGTGCTTCTTTGTTTTTTGTGTTCAATGCTAAGAAGTGCCTGTCGTGACTCACCAACTCGATGCTATTGCACTGTGTCTGGATATCTCACGGATGAATCAACCATCATCGTTGCTTCAGTTGTACACCGACAGGATGCCAATTACTTGCGGTAACTTTATCGATCTTGCGAACTCTGGATTCTACGACGGTCTTCATTTTCATCGCGTGGCGAGTATATAATTGTGCTACGATTCTTCAAGAGCTCAAAATGGATAAATACGAGTTGACTGGGCAATAAAGCAATCAATCAATAACCATGCATATCCTTCTCACAAACATATGTCTCGTTCGGATTGGTATTCATATTTATACTACGTGCAAATGAAATAATGTTACAGATTCCTGGTTTCATGAATCAATTCGGTTGCCCCTACTCGAAAGACCCTAACAGTTCACGCTCGGGTAAGTCTAGATTGCAGTATTATTAAAAAGAAAAGAGCGACRACGTTCCGGCAAATTAGCATGCAGCGTACGCTCCTTCCCTAACGAACTGGATCCGCCCATTCTCCAATGGAAAAATCTATCGGAAAACGTTTTTGGGCTGGTATGTTATCGTGAACAGGTACTGGTGGCCCAATGCAAAAAACTGCTTTCAAAAATTGCAATGGAGAAAGCATGCTTCGCAATCATGATGGATGCATTCCCGATGAAATAGGAGATGGGCACCCAAGAATTTCCAACAGCGTTGGAACTTTAAGCATGGCAAATACCGGTAAGGCAACAGAGTGCATCATTGAATGACTAGGCAATTTTGATTGATGGAGGTTACCTCCCTTCCATATTTATCCAGGTTTTATCATCCAACAGGATATCATTTTTTCCAATTTCTTTCTTCCGTTTATAGGAAGACCCAACAGCGGAGGTTCCCAGTTCTTCATCAACGTGAGTGACAACACATTCCTTGACTGGTTCGACAGCCAAACTCCAGCTGCACACCCTGTATTTGGAAAGGTTAGTAGTGRCAAATCCATGAACTCGCGGCCTTGTAGATTGGCAGTGTCAAAAAAGACCGTTTCAAATTTTGATCAACCCTGACGTCCTAACGTTTTTGGTGGTTCAATTCTAGGTGGTTGAAAATATGGATCTTGCGTTCAAAATCTCCAATGTTCCCACCCGCAATGACAATCCTGTCACGCCAATCAAGATGATCTCGGTTCGTGTTGCTTAATTCAGAATGAAATTGAATTGATT